GTTAGATGGAGGGACCCCCTTGATGACATCTGGAAAGGACCAGATCCATTGCTGACCACAGGGATGGGATTTGCTTGTGTTTTTCCACAGGATCAACCAAAGCCTATCTGGGTTCCAGCCAGAAATGTCTGACACCTCCCCACCCACAAAAAAAGATGGCTTGCATGACCCTGTCGGAAACAAAGAAAAGGAAGAGGAGGAAACAACACCCAAAACCACACTGGATCACGTGGAAAAAGATCCATGATCTGGTGGAGACTGCTCGCCGCAGATGCTCCCCCCCTCGAGCTTCTTTCTCTGTCATCCTCATGGCCGTTTTTACCCTGCCAATACTATGCTCTGGAGATTTTATGTCAGGGAAACCTTTCAAGGAAAAAAATCCAATAATCAGAACTTCATACTGCCCCCTAGTGGGCTGTCGAAAACCCATAGAAATCATAATATACCCAAATGCTGGCAGATACAAAACTAATGAATATGTTTGCTTTCCTTTCCAACAGACAGATCCATCATGCCTCAAGGAAGTTGATACCTATGGGGGCTGCCGCTATTTCAATCCCTGTAGATTGGAACTAGGATTCACTGGGGGATATCAGGGCATAACAGGAGAGGAAAGACCCATCTACCTAAAGGATAATAAGTATCTCTATATGTTGCAGATCCATGGGACAATCGCTGGCATATCGGAATAACAGGAAAGTTCTACTCAGGTGCATTCTCTAGCTACCCTACAGCTGACTTTCATATCTCTCGACAGCTTGTACCTGCAGGTAAGCCCGTGCTAACTCATCATATTATTCTACAGGAAAAACAAACAGAGGACCAGATAAGATCAACCATGTCCTGGAGCCAATACATTCAATATGTTGCTAACTTTCTTCCCTTCACCACCCACCCTAATGCCTCTGTTTCTTTTGTGCATCCAGCAATAGACCTTTACTGACAGCAGTACCAGTTAATACCACCCTTCTTTACCCAGAAACAAAAAAAGATTTGACTGACTCTCATCTGATGGATATTCCCTTATTCGAACAACTGGATAACTATCCAATTTAAATTTCCAGCAAGAGTAAGACTACTCATTACAAATGCCTCACTAACATTACTCTCTCCAGGACAGCATGCGTTGTGCCCCCCCTTTTCCTATGGTGCAAAGGAAAAGCCCAACACTGTGCTAACTCCTCTTTGTCCACCTTTTGTGTACCCGTAATGATTACACACCAGGTGTACCTTTTCGAGGAAGAAGAAGCTTCCCTCCTCCTTCACACCTGCCAGCAGAGAGAAATTTTCATCCCTTTGTTAGTCGGACTTGGACTTGCCCTCTCCCTGGGTGCCAGAGGCGCGGCAACTCCTGCTATTGTACAAACCCATCACCTGGCAGGAGACTTTTGAGACAAGCTGGACCAGGCAATGGCATCCACGACTGACAGCCTAGAGTCTCTCCAACAACAAATGAACTCTCTTGCCAGGGTTGTGCTCCAAAACAGAAGAGCACTAGACTTAATAACTGCTGAACATGGGGGGACGTGTGTAGTATTGGGAGAGGAATGCTGTTTTTTGGGGAATGAATCAAATGCTGTTGAGACCAATGTTAATACTCTCAAAAAACTTCGACCTATTTTCGAGATTTCAATCCACCAAACAATTAGGTTGGTTTAGTAACCCCTTGTTTTCATGGCTCCTACCCTTTGTTAGCCCCCTGATCATGCTGTGTGTCATTTTGATGCTTGCTCCCTGTTTCATACAATTTCTTCACGGACAAATTACTACCAAACAGGTCATGGTCAATTATCAAACTCTGGATTCTCCCGAGATAGATGAGTTGGCTCTTAAGGCTTGTGATGACACTTCTCCATTTC